CATTTCATGATGCCCGGGGGTATCTTTGTAAAACAGGCCGGCAGAAAATTGGGTGGCGAGGGTGTCATCACTGTAGTTGAGAACCGATTCGATGAAGGCTCGGTAAAGGTAACGGTTGTTGCTCTGGCTTATGAGACAATCTCCCAGAGTGACATCCAGCTGACTGAAGACAGAGTGGGTAATTCACCAGACCCAGCGCTGCCCTGGCATCAAGATTAGTTCCATCGCCTTTTACAATCTTGCAGCAAAGGTACAGCAGCATGTTGTTCAAATCCATGTAATCTTCGCCATTCCCAGCTATGAAAAAGTCAAGGTGGCCGGACTCAGTAATAGCCGAGAGCGGGAGGATCTCAACATACAGGTTTTTCTCAATGCAGGTCTGCATAGGGGCTACTTGAAACAGATCCAGTTCAGATTTGGCGCATTCTTCAGACCCACAGTGAACAAAGGCCATGGCAGTTAAAATATATTTCTGTTTCCTCCAGGAGAGTGCCCCTTCTTTGTCCCAGGCTGCTTCTTGGTTTTTCATGTGTGGCTGCCCTGTCTCATAGTTTCATGGTAGTTTGGGGTCAGAAGACACCTGAACAGATCATCTAGTCTGAACCCCCGCCACTGGCAGGGGCACATGCTGGGACCACACAACCCCAGACAGGGGTTCGTCCAACCTCTTTTTGAATTTACCCAAGGTAGGAGCGAGGACCACTTTCCTAGGAAGTTGGTTCCAGATCCTAGCTACCCTAACAGTGAAATAGTGCCTCCTAATCTGTAACCTGAACCTATTCTCCAGCAGCTTCTAGCCATTGTTCCTCGTCACCCCAGGTGCTGCTGGGGGGAATAGGGCCCTTCCTATTTGCTGCTGATCTCCCCTAATGAGTTTGTAGGCAGCCACCAAATCCCCACTCAGCCTCCGTTTGCTGAGGCTGAACAGGTTCAGGTCCCTCAGCCTCTCCTCGTAGGGCCTGCCCTGTTGCCCTCCAACCAAGCAGGTGGCCCTCCTCTGAACCCTCTCAAGGCAGGCCACATCCTTCTTAAAGTGTGGTGCCCAGAACTGGATGTAGTACTCCAATTGTGGCCTGACCAATGTCGCATAGAGGGGGAGTATTGCCTCTCTGGACCAGCTTGAGATGCATTTTTGGCTGCATGACAAGGTGCGGTTGGCTTTGCTGGCTGTGGTCTGGCATTGGCAGCTCATGTTCATGTTGGAGTCAATAATGACTACAAGATCCCTTTCCGCCTCTGTGCTCACAAGGGGGGACTGTTGACTTACCCTTTTCTTTTTAAGGGATTGAGGGGGTCCTGCATGTCTGGAATCTGGTGCATCTCTCTTTCTTTTAAGGCTCTTTCTTTGAATATACATGAGGCCAGACCCCTCCGGCTTTGCCAGCTTGACCACCTTATCCAGCACAGCTTGGGAGATGTGACTGATCACATCTTTGGCTATGTTTTGCTCCACATTTTTAGCATGGAGCTTAATAATCTCCAAACCCTTTCTCAAAAGCAGAACGGCTTTTCTAAAGAGGCTGCGAAATATGCCTCCCACACCAGCCCATATATCATGGACACCCCCTGACATCTGAGAAGACCATACCCAGCCTGGGCTTTATAATAATATCTGTACAAGTTAGGGTCCCCATAGTTTTTTACCATCACCATTGTGCTTTTACTTATTTTAAAATCTCAACGTCTTCCGGGGGTGTAGGTGAAGCTTAACGATCACCTTACCAAAGTGAAATGAGACATGTTTGTTCTGATCCGTCTTTATTTCAATGCTGATTGTGTCTATGTGGTGCTGACTAATGGGGACAAAATGTGGGTTGTCGTATGTGATGTTGACAAACTCGTTGTTCCTCCCACGGACAGGGACGCAGTGTAGCAAAGGAACTGAAAAATCCCCAACAAGCTGGCGTTCCACAATGTCTATGTAGACATACAGTGAATTGAACCCACCGGTAATATCAGCTGGGAAAGGTGGTTTTTTAACAGAGGCCCCAGGTACCATTCCCAAAATATAGGCTAGCTCACCATATGTATAAAAATCATAAGAGTTATCTTTGGATTTAAGTCTCACTTTTCCGATAGCTAGGTCATAGTGCATAACAAATTTGGGCGGAGTAGGGCTGGTGGTAATTGTATTGTTCGTAAGATCCAGTAACTCTGTGATGGTTGTATAATACCCCTGAGGCAGGATGTACCCCCATTTTTTAGTCCCAGGAATGATTTTGAAAGGGGTGTCTTCATTGATGTTGTTCCAGCTGTGTGGGTATTGTATTTCTGCTAACCTTATCTCCCAGTTACCCAGCAGATCCAGAGATTTAACCAGCTGTATGGTAAAGCTCGAGCTGGTGTTCTGCGGAAAAATCCTGGCACAAGCGTTGCTGGGCAAAGTGATGTAAAAGCCGCCATCACACATCTCAGCCTTCTGACTGAGGTACCCCTATATGTTACAGATTTGGGAGGCTTCCATTCAGCTGTTAAATTTAGCTGACCACCCCAACCATTTCACCAACAACTGCTTCTTTCTTCCCTTTCCTTTTGTTGCTAGAACTTTTTCAACCCTGTAAACTCTGTCCTGTTTGGGATTCACTTTTTGTAATTCTTCAGGGTAAAAAGAACCCTTGATAGGTTTGTCTTCATAATTTTTTAGGTGGTATACAGGCGTCTGCACACGTCTAAAGACTTCATCCGCTATAAAAATCTCATTGGTGAATGTTTGTTCATAACCTTTTTTAAACTTTCCTTTGGTCCTAGATACCCTCACGTGGTCTCCTTTTCTAAACACGGGTGGTGCTGGTTTTATTTTGAAATAGTCCCCGTAACTGGTTTTTCACAGCTGTGGAGAGTTTGAGAAGTTCATGTCAACAGACCTGGTGTGGATAGTTCTGTGAAAACTGTGGTTGTAGCTCTTTATAAACTCTAGTAAAACATCAATGTAGCGAAAGGTATTGCAGGCTGCAAAATACCTCTGCATCTTTGATTTTAATGTTCTGTTAAACCTCTCTACCACTGCTGCTTTCACTTCATTATGTGTCACAAAATGGAGAATATTATACTGTTTTAACAGTTTGCTTAAAGACTTATTTAAAAATTCTTTTCCCCGATCAGTCTGTAATTTTCGGGGTATGCGGCCCTCTGTAAAAATGGTTTTAAAGGCCCAAGCAATTTCACCACCTGACTTGTCTTTTAGACCCACAGACCAGGCATACTTTGATAATATGTCTGTCGCTGTTAAGATTAACTTAACACCACAATTGTGCTTGGAAAACTGCTGCATATCCACCAAAGCTGCCTGCCATTGCACATCAATATCTGAAACAACAGTTTTGTTTCTTTCAAAATGTCTTCTTGCTGGTTTGTGTAGGGTGTAAGCATCCTGATCTGAAAGCCAGGCAGCCACCCCACTCCTGTTCAGAACCTTTTTCTGCCTTTTGGTGGCTGCAAAAAGCGTGTTCACTCCGCCAAAACTGCTAGCTTCACCAGGAGAATAATAAACTTCCTTTAACACAGCCTCCTGTGTAGACATGTCTGGTAACCACTGCCCCAACACCCACCCCACGCTAACACCCATGTGGTGCACTTGAGGACAAATTTAAACTATGGCACAAAGATACCATCTTCCAAATTCTCAGTGGGGCAGGTTGTTAGAGAGGTCGCACCACGCCCTGCCACCCCATAGGCCACGCCTGTGCTCCGGAGGCTAGAGCAGTCTGGGACCTGATAGGTTATAACTGTACCACGTGATGTAGGACAGTTGTTGCAGCATGAAGTGTTGGGCTTTTGGGGTCTGCATGGGCTGTCCTTCTGATGTCATGGACCATGTGGTGGTGATGTCACATACCACATGACTGAGGTCAGGGGGCGGGGCTGGTGACATCACACACCATGTGACTGGGGGTGGGGGCAGAGTTGCTGATGTCACATACCATGTGACTGAGGTCAGGGGGCAGGGCTGGTGACATCACATACCATGTGACTGGTCATGGGCGGGGCTAGTGATGTCACACACCGCTGGACCAGGGTGAGGGTGGAGTTGTGATGTCACATACCACATGACTGAGGTCAGGGGGCGGGGCTGGTGACATCACACACCATGTGACTGGGCCAGAGGGCGGGGCCAGTGATGTTACACCATACAGGGGAAAGGGGGCGGGTCTAAGGGGGCAGGACTTCCTGTCCCACCTACCTGTCACACTTGCATTGAAGGGCGGTGAGCCTAAATACTACTATTGTTGAATTTTTGGTGGAAATCAGTCAGAGACTGCAGGGTATTGGTCCAAATCATGTATCTCAGGTGTAGGAAGGGGTTGATGGTACAGTTCTTGAGGAATTCTTCTTCCAGGTGGGCGATAAAAAAGTTGGCATATTGTGGGGCCATTTTGGTGCCCATAGCTGTGTCCAAGGTCTGGAGGGAGTGCTGGTTGTTGAAACTGAAGATGTTGTGTGTGAGGATGAAGTCTATGAGTTTAGTGATATCCTGAGGTCTGTACTCTGAGCTGTAATCGTGTTCTTGTAGATATGTGAGGCAGGTTTGGATGCCATTCTGGTGTGGGATGTTGGTGTATAACAGGGGTGGGCAATCATTTCAGGCCAAGGGCCACGTAATGACGTTTGGTGAGCTGTTGAAGGCCGCATGGGTAGCCCCACTCCTTGATAGGTGCCCCACCCCTGGCTGCCATCTTGGGACCAGAAGTCCCAACCCTAACCCCTGACTTTTGCCACTAGAAGTCCCTCCCCTGCCCCCCTGAAAATACTCCTTTTTTGGGGGGTGACATCTTAGAACCAGAAAAAAAACAAATCATGCACTAAAAGTCAAACACCTACTATAACATATTTTAATTCAATTACTAAAATACTTTTGTCATGATTTTTGTTTGTGTAGTGTATAGAGGTGATTGCATATCTCAAAAATAAATTCTTAGTCTTATATTGTGGGGGGGTGGTTGGGTGTGTGTGTGTATGGTGGGGGTGTTTAGAGTGGGTGTGGAGATGTGTGTGCGTGTAGTGGGATGTGTGGGAAGTTTGTGAGAGGGTGGAGCTGTGTGTGGGGGGCATAGGGTATGTTGGGGCGTTTTGTGTGGCATTTGTAGGGTGTGGGTGTGTGGCTCTGGAACACAGTCCTTTCTTGCAGTCAGTGCAGGCAACACTGGGGGGGTGGTATGTGTGTGTGTTGGTGTGTGGTTTGTGGGGCGTGAGGAAGGTGAGAGGACTATGGGGAGCCCCTGGGAGCCCCCTCCCACACACACACACACCCACACACACACACACACACACACGGCGTAGAAGCAGGCGGGAGCACTGGTGGTTGGCTCTGGCCAGAGCTACACATCACAGCGAGGAGCAGAGAAAGCAACAGGCTCCAGCACCTGGGGCTTCCCTCCTGTGCCCTGCCAGTGCGGGTAGAACTGGGGAAACAAATGGCCTGGAGGGGGGCTGTTCTCTTTACAGCCTGGCCACAGCCAGGTACCAGGACCAAGCACAGGGCCCTCCCTGCTGCTGCTGCCCCCACTGCCTGCCAGCGCTGCACACCATGGGGAGGAGTGGGGGGAGGGATCCCCATGCCCCTCCCTCCTCACATCCACACCCACACCCTGCCCACCCGAGCTCCGTGCTGCTCCGACACGCTCTGCACTGCAGCCAGCCCCAGCCCTAGCCCTATGCTCCTGCCCAGCTGAAGCCCTGCCCCCCGCTTCACTACCTGCTGCCCTGTGGGAGCAGCCCTGCCCCATGTTAGTAGGGCCAGCTCTTCAGCCCATGAGTGTGGGAGTGAGGCATACTAGGATATGTTGGAGGCAGGTGTAGGAGCCTCGCTCCCACCCTCATGGGCGGAAGGGCTGGGTGGGGCACAACTCGTTGGGGGCCGGATGAAAGTGCCTGGCAGGCTGCATCTGGCCCCGAGGCCCTATTTTGCCCACCCCGGTGTATAAGCTAGTGACATCCATGCTGGCTAGGAGGGTATTGCTGGGAAGGTGGTCTATGTTTTTGAGTTTTTGCAGGAAGTCTGTTGTATCTTGGATGAAACTGGGGTGTTCGTAGTGCGCTGGGACCCACGGTCCCCGAGCAGCGGCAACGAGGACTCTCGCAGAGAACGCGCGGCTCAGCTGCGCCCCGAAAGCCCAGTTCAAACGAAACGGAGGAGCCCGGTCCCGCTACACACGCCTTCAAAGCGATACAAAAGAGGCCAGCATGGCCCGAGCCACCCGCTCCTCAACGCAGATACCCGCACTGAGCCGGACCCTGGAGAGACGCCCGGGCCTCACCTTCGCGGGGCGGAGCGGGAAGTGCCCAAGTCTCGCCCTGCCCCGGTCACCAGCCCGGGACAGGAGGACGGGCGGGGCCGGCGGCGGGATCGGGTTTCACATCCTGCAGCGCCGCCAGGCCCAGGGGTGGGTGCAGCCGGCCCGCGGGGCCCGCCAGGGACATGGCGCAGAGGTGAGTGCGGCGCGGCCGGCCCGGCCGAGCAGCGGCCC